TCGTTACAGCTCCAAATTTTCGCTGTCCCTGTATCCCTAGAGATTACAATGAGGGGCAGAAACCAAAATAGGGTCTTACTAGTTACAGTATCAATGAGCTCGAACGAGGAAAATTCTACTTTCATATCTTTTTATTCTATTTCATTTACCTTACATCCCTTTTACCTCTTTTTCTTGTGCTCTTTTACTAGTAATTTCATCAATGCTTAAGTGAAGTCCTAAGCGTTGCAAACTTACTTGGGCTATAGTTATTGCTTTGGTTTTGTGGTCTGCTTCGGCAGACCTGACGTCGTGGTTGAGTCCGTAAGTGATCTTGCGACACCTCGTTAAAATGGGGGAGGTTCTGTTGGGTTTTAGTGGGTAGTATTGGCTTCTCTGAAGCCGATGAGTCTCATATAACGATCTGTAGGTATACAGATGGTTATGTGGGACATGTGGGACATTTCCAAAAATTAAAAAAGAAATTGTTATTGCTTATAATCAGGGAGGTGATATGCTCGTTTATCACCTTTCTGGCATAAAAATAGAAAAAGTGTTTCAATATTATTTTATTTTGTTAAAAAAATAATTAATGAAGTCACTTTAAGTCCACGTGAATGTCACTCACGTAGTTCAATGTATTGCTAATTTTACAGCATTACCACACCGGGCTGATAAAAGGCGGATATAGATATTTTGTCAGCTATGACTGTAGTTTGTCAACATGACGTACCATGTCTCGTATTCGATATTTTTACTTATGTTTCGATTATACTTAAAATATTTTTTATTTACTTTAAACCAAAGGTGTCTTAGCTAACTTATTATTCTCAGCATATAGCCGCCGATTGCTGAAGGAAAGTGCTTCTCTAATGAGCATCATACATACTGGTCCAAGGCCGTCCTCATCCATCGTTGCTACTAACCTTGCTTAAGTTATAGGTAATACGACTATTGCGTAAGCGCAGTCTCATATATGTATCTTAAGGTATTTTTTTTTTTCAAAAGACTGTTCCCACTCTATGTCCTTTGATAAAAAATAGCCTAAGTAATTCTCTCTATCTTTTTCTGTTGTTCAAAGAAAAAACAAACTAACAAACAGATGCTTTTATAATCTTAGTAGGAATTTTATTAATCTTGTTTTTAAATAACAGCTTACTTGTTACTGTAATCACAGATTATGCTTTTATCACTAAAAATAATAATTAGATCATTGAAAATTTATACTTTTCTATTATATTTTTATACGTTAGGTTAGCAAAATCTCAGTTATTAACGGTAAGCCCTCATAATATTCATATATTATATCTTCTATTTACAGTCATCTCATCAGCATCCCTTCTCATCAAATCTATACCTGAATTTTCTGTTCATATAATGCTCGTCAACGTCGTTTTAAGGTGGTACGGTAAATTCGAAACATTTAATGTTTTCTACCGACATATTTCTTCAAGAGATCTATTTCATTGTAAACACCCATCCATTAGGATGTGCATGGAATTTACAGGAGTTATAGGTATTCAATCTAATGATTGTCTATTAGCCTTTTTTTCTCCATTGACTACTGAAAACTTGCTATGTTCTCTCAGACATGCACGTTTCCTCATAATGCTTTCCTTTACCGTAAGAAAAGTGGTAATCAAGTTGGAAATGCACTGCAAGTTCGCACACAACATTACGTTAAAATAAAGAGAGATGATTAATAGTTATTATTAAAAATGTGAATTGAAATTCGGATAATGAATTGAAATTCTATTTGCTATTAATACACCGATAACTATTTACAGTAATTTGACGATTTTAAATTTTTAAAAATTATCGATGTATTCAAGATCATTATCAATCGTGATCGGACTTTGTTTCACACTGCCTCGGCGACTGCGTGATACCCTATCGCTTGTTTACGTAAAACATATCAAAATACAATACTGATTGATGTCTTATCTGATAGTCTCGCTTGACCTCCTTATTTGCTGATACGATTCGAAGAAGGTTAAGTTTGTTCTTTGTAACGTAAGTAATTCAAACGTGTGGTGACGTCAATTGTCGCACATGAAAGGTACATGTTTCTCGATGGCTCTTCTCAGCAGAACTGCTTTCGCGAGTAGGTAGTCGTCAGTGTAGTAGGTCCTCACGGACTGACCACACTGGCGCTTACATTAAATGTACGATTCCAAAATACTTGTAATAAGTCTATTTGAATAAAGTTTCATTTCAATCCAAAGTTTCTTTTCATTTCGGCTTAGGTATCACCACTCGATTAGCGTTGCCCTATTGACTGGAGAACAAAATAATATATTAGTTTTCTATCATATTTATTACTAACAACTCACCCCCACTCGGACTCGTCTCTGGTGAAAAACAAATCTATCCCACAAGGACTGTACATTTTCCGGTTTATAAAGTTACATATGTGCTATTCTAGTCTATAATCTCTGTGCCAAATTTTGATCCAGATCCGTTCAGCCGTTCTGGCGTGAAAGAGTAACAAACATCCATACAAACTCCACAAATTTTCACATTTATAATATTAGTATGGAATAATATTAATTAACTAGCATTGCCCGCGGCTCCGCCCACGTTCAGGTGATCAAAAACCAAATTCTTAGGTTTTATATATTAGTATACTCTTACAACGGTTTTTGTATTTTTTCTCAGAAATGAAATATTTTCCAGCGGTAAAAAGTATCCTATATGTTGACGCGGGTAACCAGCTATCACCATACCAAATTTCATAAAAATCCCTCCAGTGGTTTTTCTGTGATGCGGTAACAGACAGACAGGCAGACAAAAATTCTAAAAACTGTAGATTCAACCTCTGTATCGATAACAATGTCTATTTCAATAAGATTTTCCAAAAAATATTTAATGTACAGATTTGGCTTAGTTACAATTTTATTATATGTATAGATTAATGGGACTAGCTACTACCAACGACTTACAAAAACATAAATTGGATAGTACATAAAAATTTTGACCCTGTAAGAACTTTAGTATGTACCTATATCTTCGCTGCATTAGCTGGTATTAAAATCAACAAACATACAAACTTATAGGGACAACATACCTATAAACTTATAGGGACTCCAATCCACGAACTCTTAAATTAAATAAATAAAAATAAAAAAATGAAATAAATGTATTTAAAAATATTTAATTTACACTAAAAAAAAGTAAATCATTATATTTTTTTACATTCAAATTTATTTTTACGTTATAGAAAATTCCATCTATTATTGTATGATAGAAAAGCAGCCATTAGGGCAACGACAAAAGGCCCTTATCAATCCATCGATGCAACAAAATAGCAAATATCGTTATAATAAAGTGATCATATTACTTTGCTTGCGGGGTGACCAAATAATACATAATCCCATTGATTGTTGTGAAATATCTATTATATTCTTTCGGATGCGGTTATGTCCGGTATAAGCTGATTTGGAGTGTCGTATAACGGTTAGGAGTTTTGTGAATGAAATTATTATTCGAATTTATAAATTTAGATATTTGGATCCAAATAATTACTTCCAATGAAAAAAAGAAGGTTAAAATTCTTTAAAGTAAGACTGAAATTAAAGTTGTTATTAAAAATACTTTCTATTCGTACTTAAATTGTCTAGGTTATAACATAATATCAAACAATAGCCAAGCTTAGATTTTAGCTAAAGATAACCAAAGCCATGTCGGTGGGCAACATTAAAAAACGTTATAGCTTAAAGACATAAATAAAAAAAGAACTTAAATATTATATTCCTATGATTTTAAACACAAACAGGATCCTCCCATCAATTATATTCATATTTTTGAACAACAATACAAATTGCAAACAAAGTACAAAAAATACATTGAAAAACATCTATTAGAAAACCGTTTAGTTTATAAAGGCATTTAGTTGGTATCTAGAAGATAACATCGCGGACCAAACAGGCTAGCTCAGTTGAGTGTAAAAAGATATATTTGTTGATTCGTATCTCCAGCTACCTACAATATGAGCTCAGGTTTCAAGCCCGTTGAAATTTGAAAAATGAAAGTTTTTGCCTCCATTATTGTGCAATATATTCTATTATTCCTCTTTATTGTCACCCTACATGTAATATTGTTAATTCGCGCCCCTTACTATAGATAAAATCATATTTTTTAACAGGAATATTTTAGTACGACTTTGCTGTATTTGTGTGTTAGTTTAAACGACTTAAAAGAAAGTTTTAATTTTAACTCATAATTCTTTTGATCAATGTTTATCTGCTGTTTTAATATGTTTCGAGTTAGCCGTTGAAAGGCATATATCATAAATAAATTATAACTTCGAAAGTTAATGTCGTGGTCATACTTCTTCATTTTTGGGTGCCTTGTTTACTAGTGAAGGTATTATAGCTTAGTATACTCCTATCCTTTCTATTCATATCATGACTGATACTAATTATAATGGAAACTTTTCCCACCGTAGTATGTTGCAGTTGACATCTTTCATGCCTAATAAAAATATTTGTGTAGTGCGAGATAGACTGCTTTTTCATTATATTGTATTTGGTCTCAACAAAATATAGGCCTGAAACTCGTTCAAGGCGGGTACCATCCAAGCAAATAAAACTAAATATATCTGAGTATTTAATAGTGTTATGGAGCGAGGCGTGTGCGGGTGGAGCAACGCTGTCAGATAACGTCGAGACGTGTTGCGTTTGACACTTGACCTGGGGTGACCATATAAAGAAAATAATTAGGATTCTTGACAGTATTTAGAAATAAAAGTTTGAAATCTTAAATAGTTTTTTTTTAATTAATATTACCAACAATGCTAACACATGAAATCAAGTTAAGTTTGTTGTATAATAATTGCTTATAATCAATAAACAGGCAAAAAAATTAGAAGAACTTTAAAGGTATAAAACAAAATAAAAATACATAGATAATACTAATATTTACATCTTATTTTGGCATTTGCACAAAATCAATACTTTTGATAAATCAAATTTTGTTAGACTACTATAATTTATATATATTTGGATATACATTTACCAAATATGGTCTACGCTAGTACAGAAGCATGTGCACTGTACGCCGACCTCCTACCGCTACAGTCTAAAGCAAAGCCGCCGCGTTTGACCGCAAATAAACAAACAAATACGCAAACCGTACACTATCATGTACGCTTTGGTTACTCTGATGGTAAAGGTGTTCAACCACAGAGTGTACAAACAACATTCACTTCACTCGACGAATAAGTAGATATTGTCCCAATCAAATCCTATTATTTTTTAAGCCAAAACATTTAATACATTAAGTTAACATAAATTTTTGTAATCAGCCCTTTTTAACGTCCCACTGCTGGGCACGGGCCTCCCTTCAGTACGAAAGGGGTCAGGTCATAGACCACCACGCTGGCCAAGTGCGAGTTGGCGGACTTCACATATCTTTCGAAAACTTGCTAAGTTCCCTTAGACATGCAGGTTTCCTCACGATGTTTTCCTTCACCGTAAATAAATAAATTTTAAAATTGTGAAATTAACTATACCTTTCTTTTTTTTTTTTTTAACGTTGGGAAATGCATTTACGCACGACGTGTGGGACTCACCGGCGTAATACAGCCAGTACTACCCACTAAAACCCAACAAAACCTTCCCCCGTCTTAATGGGGCGTCGCAGGATCGCTTACGCATTCAACTACGACGCCCCGACGGCAGGTCTGCCAAAGCAGACCACCACAACCATGGGGTTGCTCCACAGTCCACTCTGCTATCAGAGAAGTACCAGGAGCAACCCGCATGGTACACCGCCCCCCGAAGAGGGCCACCTCCCACCGCCCACCGAAGTGGGCAACCTTCCTGTGCGTTTCTTAGCTTCGCTACTACTACTGAGCCCCCCCACCACGACAAGGTGAACGCACGTTGGGGGGGGGGGGGAAAACTATACCTAGAAGACTTTAATAAATATTTTACAACAATTAAACAATAGAGAAGAGCGTGAAAACGCTATCCTAACGCTACGAAAAGCATAAAAAATGGCGATTATCACTATATGTAGAAATAAATCAGACTGCTATTAAAAATGCAAAAGTAATGTTACTTCTCAAAGCTGAAACGACAGGACGATTTGGATAAAAATTTGGTAAACGCACAGATAATATGACCTGGATGGAGTAACATAGTCTACTGTTAGGCACACATCGACACACCCGAGCAAGAAATAAAATTAAAAAATATATTTATCAGAAGCAGAAATATATGAACAAATAACTATTAACAAATATGTGGACCACCATCCTAATTTTGACTGGGCTCACTGACACTTACCGCGTAATGCTACTATGAAGCACAATTTGAATCTTAAGCCCTGGTAATAGCAGAGAAAACTTTCATCCAATAAGTAAGCCGCGCCTGCCAATCATAGTTAGTATGAAACATGATATTTATATTGCTTTACATTTGTTCGACCAAACCTTATATCTGTATTATCATTTTAAAAGATATTTAAAAATGAAAAATCATTGTAATTTTTGTAGTATTTTGTAGTTATGTCAATCATCAATGTACTTAAAAAGGGAAACGCACAAGTTCAATCCATACAGAATCAGTATAATTTACTATAATTTATTCCAACATAATATGGTAATAAATCATTTTATTATTTCATAGTTACAAGAATTTCGAGTGCATTTGGTTTATTACAATAATTTTCTAATACAGTAGCTATAGAAAGAATCGTTTGATAGATCACTCATTATCACGTACTTATCATATAAATATATAAATATTTTGGGACATCAACAAACAGCACCATTCAGTTCCATGGTAAGCTACGAGGCTTGTGTTATGGATGTAGTTTGCGAGATGAGTATGCGTGGAATGATATTTTAAGATTAAAAGAGGTCTGATATAATTTTAAGAATGGAATGGAATGAAAGATGAATAAAGGAAAAGAAGGATGTTTTATCATAATGACGACACGACAAACAAACATTGTTTTATATAATTTTAAAAGAATAAATAGTTAATAGTGTTATAAGTATCTCCGGATCCTACATGGATACCAGATAGTTGATACACTACACATCATATATAACATTAAATACATACATATTATAAATATATATAAACACCCATGACTGGAGTACAAACATTCGTGCTCATCACACAAATGAATGCCCCCGGCGGGACTCGAACCCGCGATCCCGGACACAGCAAAGTAGGTTCACTAAAAACTGAGCCAAACGTGTCGTCAATCGTCATTATATATTGATATAATAAAATGTATAGCCTTTAAACGATTTTTTTATATATCTAGACTTCTGCCGTGTTTCTAAATTAATGCGGAAGTGAGACAACTTTGTAAATAACTAAATAAATGACATATTTATCTCATATGGCCAAATAAAAAAAACGATGAGCTGCTATCACGAGGTATATCTGCAGAATTTTCCTTTCTCGACGATAAACACGTATTTATCATATACTTTGTAAATAATATTTAATTTGAATATCGATAATGACATCAATCTAGATAATGTAACATATAACGCAAAAGAGTTTGTTTGTTTGAACGCGTTTATCTCTGAAAAAAATAATCCAATATGAATTTGTTTTTATATTTTATAATGTACTTATTAAGAAAGAATCTGGGCTATATCTAGCATCATTATAGGACCTTTGGGAGCGGTGCAACTGTACAGAAATAAACTACGCGGGCGGAGACCAACTCCGCAATACCTTATGGCAATGGCGATCTCTAATAAAGTTTTGAAACAAAATAAAAATATTCCTTGTATACTTAAAAGAATTTTGCAAGAAAGAGAAAATCCCTAAAAATCTCTAAAACAAGTACCTAGTTATTATATTAAAATGAGTATCGACGAGCACATATGAAAAATAATGTCAACAAAAGATTGATTACCTTGATTTTCTATTGATTGTATTGATTAAGAAGGTACCTACACAAAGATCGAAAATGGCATCAAACTTTACATGTATTTCAGTAATCATTTTTAATTATTAAAGTTAATTACTAAGTTCTCGTAGCTATTATTATAATACAAAGTCCTAAAATCGTGACTGACTTATCATCGTTCAGGTCAAAGCAATGGGATGACAGACAGAAGTTATTATAGTTCATTCCTATAATGATAAATGACTAAAGAACGTTTTTTTTAAATATATTTTTAAATAATAAAATGACAAATATATGTATATATCATGTATATGGGATAAATAAAGGTGGCTATATATATAGCCATAACAATTGTCTCCCGTATAGGAGACAATTTTTTCGGTTGTCATATTAATATCAATAATAATAATAAAAACTCTTTATTATGCACACAAAAACAATACAATTGCAGGAAAATGCACAAAATGGAGCCTTATTAAAACAGCTATTTCAGGCAACCTTTGGGTGTAGGAAATAGTAAAATATGAAGTGGAAGGGGTGTGAATACAAATTACATTTTAACAAAAAAGTTAAAACTTCTAAATTTTTTAAAATATGTAACCTTTAACGTGTAACCTATTCGTTGAATAAAGAATCATATATTCTGAGACTCAACTGTTATACTCTATTGAATATGTAGAATCCAATAAAAAAATCACTCTCGCCCTATTTTAACCATAAACTAAGAATTTTGAACAGTAATTGTTTTTAAATACTCATACATTATCGTGTGTCACGTATTATATTTTGAATATTGATAACTAATTACATACATGAGCCCGTCACAAGTCCCAGCCGCTATTAGGGTATAAATATTTGAGTCTGGCGACTTTTCCGTTGTATTACGAGTACAATAATATTTTCTATGACGTATTATGATAAATCTATACTTCTATACCAATAATAATCATAAATGTGAAAGTGTGTGTGTTTGTTTGTTTGTTTGTTTGTTTGTTTGTTTGTTTGTTTGTTTGTTTGTTTGTCTTACTTTCACGTTGAAACGGCTTGGCGGATAGACGTAATTTTTTGTGTGGAGATAGTTGGAGGACTGGAGAGTGACATAGGTTACTTTTCGCCACGGGAGATTATCTCTTTCCCACAAAAATATTTATGATCAGAATTACTTCAAAGTTGGTATTAATATTCTTCAATACAATTAAATAAATACGTGTTTTAGCATTTTTCGAAATTCATCCCAAAAGAGGGTAAAATAGCGGATGAAAGTTCGTATGAAACTTACCTTTTTAGTGTTTTTTGTAGTTTTAGCGCGCGCGAAGCCGCGGGTTCTGCTAGTAATATATAATTAGTTTTTTACTAAAAAAGTTAAACCGACTTCAACCCTACCTAATTGTGTTTCCACCACCATTGAGGTTAAGACATATTTATGTAAAGAAACTATTCACAACTGGTGAAGGTATCGTTTAGCATACCTATGGACTATGGACCAAAAAGACGCCGAATTAAGTAGGTACATAGCTCCTTCCTTTTTTGAAATTGGTTAAAAATGAAATTCTATATAGGTATAGTTTAGTTTTCATCCGACTTCAAAAAGGAGGAGGTTCTTAATTCGACTGTATTTTTAATGTGTCATTTATTAACTCAGAACTCGTGTCTTTTATTAATCGATTTGGACAATTTTTGATTTCTTTGAAAATGTATACTTGGAAGTATAGTTTGGTCATGATATTATGAAACAAATTACAAATCGACTCAACGTTTTATTATTCAAATTTCAATAAATTATATTTATCTTTGAGTTCATAAAAAATCCTATAGAAAAAAGTTCTTTCTTCAATTTTCCCTAAATTTCCAATTTTGTGTTAAAACAACGGATTCTTCGGATTATTATAAACAGATATACAGATAACTAGGTCCCTCATGCTTTAATCACGTGTTTGATTTTATTAGTCGATTTTTGTAATAATTATGAATATAAATGTAAATAAATATAGATATAATTTTTTAATAATTTTTTTACGAATTTCATTGACTTGTAAGTTATTTGATCTAGACGGGCGGGTTGGTCACTCATAATGTGTTAGGTGACTTAAAAAATCTAACTTAACTACTTATTAAATAAAATTTTCCTTATAAATATGATTTTCTGTATAATTAGAGGCAATTATGCGTGGTCCGTACTAGCTAGTGCATAACTGACGAGGCTAATGAAGTAAACTGCGTGACCACAACATTAAAACAATTCCTTTTCCAAGGGGCGGGGGACAGCTGGCGGTCTTCTCAGCCAGGCCGGCACCATGAACGTGCCACGTCGACAACGATACCTCAATATTGTGATCCA